ATTAATAATAATAAAATTACTAAACTCCACACAAAAAAAAAAAATTATCATTAATTAATTAAAATAGCAATAATAATTTAAGCGACTTCAGAGTTAAACTTTTCGTGAACTAACGAAACAAGTAGAAAAGACTTATTTAAAATCGGCGGTGCGTCTGATGGATCTATAGTATGGTATGTATGTACCCAACGTAGGTACTATTCAATATTATACACACTAGAAGTAGTAGAGACGAAGTGCTGTTGTGTTTCCCATGAGTAAGTCGGCTAGGATAGGAATGAAATAAAAAATCGTGAGTAATACAACGGGCCAGTAATACTACTGTATATAGTACATATAAAAGCACATAGCAGTGGCAGCATCCTATCCGTCCGTCCCCCGTGCCGGTTTGCCGATCGATATTTCCTGGCAACCGCGGAAAGGAGGGTTCTACACACTACACACTACACACTACTCACTACATCCTATTCAGTCTGCTCTCAGCTCGCTTCCTCTGTTTGTAACAATACCGTCCTGCTCCTAACGTCTACCCAGGATTCTGATTCCTTCCGCTTAGCTTTCCGATTTATAATAACACGTTCTTTCCCTTTTTATTTAGCTTTACGACTTTTTCCTCCCAAAATTATTTTCCCCAAATCTTACGCCTATTTATTATCATTCCTAAAATTTTATCACAGCGTTACAAAATCACAAATCCATTTTTCATCCATTTTTGTTATTAATTATTAAATGGCTATTTTTCTTATTTTTTTTTTGTCAGTTTTCGGTTTTATTTAACTTTTATCAAGGCGAGAGCTTACAGATATCTACGGGGACTATCGAGCTTACTACGATGGATAGTGTATAATTGTAGACGCACGCGGCGAAGCTCTACCCACTGACTTGGCTCTCTTTTCAAAATAAAAACGAGCGTAAAACTCAAGGGGAAAAGTTTATCACTATTCACCATCACATCTTCTCTCTATTTATCTCTGACAATTCAGTATATTAGTCTCTCCACGGACTATTCGAACTCAATTATAATTAAATTACTATTTTATTAAATTTTTATCAACGTCTTTATTGTGTTATTCTGCCTTATTTTGAATTAAATTAAATAATATAAATAAAAATTACATAAAAAATTTTTATTCATTGACAATTTAAAAGTTTTAAGTATACTGTTAATAACTTAGACAAAATAGAGTTCTTAGTTCAAAAAAATTTTTTTTAACACTTCTATGATCTTTGCGTAACATACATTAATATTGAAGCTTTAAATAAAAATATTTGATAATCTACATTATTAAGAGAATAAGCAAAATTTTATGGCCAGTGTATTTATATGATAAAAAGGGCTTTTATGGTTAAATTTGATATCGTTCTAAAATTCTTGACCTGGAGTTGTGCCTTATCATGGTTTTATATCATTTTCACCAATAGCCAATTTATGATAAGTATTTAGGCTGCATTTGAAAATGATCTATCTCTAGATGCATAATTAAGAAACAACCTGGTATCTTGAGAAATATTGACATTTTTAAAGATATAAGCTCATCCCGATGTTACACTCATCGAGACCTTTCATTTGAGCACCCACATCAATTATTCATATATTTTATATATTTATATATTTCACAAATACCATATATATAAAATATATAAGAAATTCCATGTGGGTACTCAAATGAAAGGTCTGGATGAGTGTAACATCGGGGTGAGCTTATATCTTTAAAAATATCAATAATTAAGAAATGACCTTACATCTTGTCAACTAATGATAGTTTTAAAGATATAAGTTCATCCTGATGGTACGCTCGTCTAGAGCTTTCATTTGAGTACCTACATCAATTTTTCATATATTTATATATATTATATATATGTATATATGAAAAATATATCAAAATCCATGTGGGTACTCAAATGAAAGCTCTTGATGAGTGTAACATCGAGATGAGTTTATACATTTAAGAACGTCAATAATTAAGAAAGTACAGGATATTTTAACAAATATCTTGTGAACTATTGATGTTTTTAAAGATATAAGCATTATATATATGTATATATGAAAAATATATCAAAATGCATGTGGGTACTCAAACGAAAGCTCTTGAAGAGTGTAACATCAGGATGAGCTTATATCTTTAAAAACGTCAATATTTAAGAAAGTACAGTGCAATTTAACAAAATTCATTATTTAATAAAGCAAAATTTTATTTATTAATAGTGCAGAAGTCGCAGCAGTCACATAGTGACTGCAAGGTTGATAATTTTATAGTACTTAAATATAGAAACTTTGGTTTTTATAGAGTCATCAAGTCATCATACTTATGTACATATACTCTGTCTCTATCTCCAAATTTGTATAAATTGAGTAACCCTGTTATTGGCCCTTTGGGATGTTCAATTTAAATGAAGGTAAATAAATACCTCAAATTTATTATTACTTGCATAGTTTTATTTTCAATAAAAACTACCAATTAAATTTAATAAAAAAAATAAATATTCAATTAAAATGCTTGACAATTAATTGGACTTTTAAAAACCCAGCAATTACTTCTAATGAAGAAATTAAATAAACGTGATTGATAGAATTAAAATGATTTGTGATAATTATTTATGTCAAGACACGACTTGATTGTTATTTCTCACTTATTATCATGATTAGAATAATCATTATTATTATTATAATTTAAATTATTATCATTATAACAGGTAAAAGCTCCAGGAAAAGCTCCGCCTAGGGTCATTTTGAGAAGGGGTTGTCAGTTTTATTGGCCAGTGATATCGATGCGTCGTGAATCTCTGTCCAATGGGAGGACGAGATGTAAATGCGCTGGCGCCAACGAGAAGCTCTTCGAGGAAGCTACGAGCTCGCCGAGGACGACGACGACGTTCATCGTCGCGATCCCGCGCTTTCGAACCCACTCCGCACTTACGCTCACCTGGACTTAATTATTGGTGAGTTACTAGTTATTAGTTATTACATATAATCAATCCATTTATCCAACCCCTTGCTATTTATTTAATTTAATAATTATCACCGTGCAATTTTATTTTTTTCTCCTTTTTTTTTTCTTGTTGGAACATTTTTCGCTCAGTCGTTGCAATTTTTCCAGTGATCAATAGTTGTGAATGTTAAATAGTGTTATATATATTTTTTTCACTCATATATATTTTATTATATTATTTTTATGTTCTGTGGGAGTTATTGTATTGTAAAGTGAAATTTTTGGTGATTTTTTTCAGTGTTTCAGTGAAAATTTTAAGTGCTAATTTTATTGCTATATTTTTTCATTTTATTTCAAGTGTTTTTTCAGTAAACAAAAATTTTATTAATTATTATAATTGCATACAAAAAATTAGTTTTAATTTATATTTTTATCAAGAATTTTTTTTTTTCAGGAAATAAAAACTTATTTTAATAATTTTTAGTAAAACTAAAAAAGATTTTTAATGAAATTTTCATTTAAAAAATTTTATTTTTTGTTTTAAATAAATTATTTTATTAAAAAAATTAATTGCAAAAAAAAAAGCCAAATTTTCTTTTTTTTTTTCAGGGAATAAAAATTTATTTTAATAATTTTTAGTAAAATTAAAAGAGATTTTAATTATTTTTAATAAAATTTTCACTTACAAAATTTTCCAGATTTTTTTTTTTTAAATAAATTATTGTATTAAAAAAATTAATTACAAAAATGGAGCCAAAATTTAAATTTAAATTAAATTAAATTTTAATTAAAGAAAAAAACATCTAAATCCAGTTAATATTTCCAATTTTATTAAAAAATAATTACTAATTACCAAAAAAATTTCTTCATACTCAGCCAGACAATAATTACAATAAAATTTCGATATAAAAAAAACTAAACTGCACATTTTGGTAGTCTATAAGCGGGTAAGTACCCCGCGCGATCGATAGCGGCTAAAATTTTTCGGGGATGACTGCCGTAAATATTTCTACATATTACCATTACAATACTCCTCCTCGACTAATATACCCATGAATATTTATCGCTCTAGTATAATGTAACCATATACTCATCATTTTTTCCCTCCACTTAAAGACAAAAAAAAAAAGTCATATAAAAAAGAAACAAGCTTCAAATGAGCAATAAATAGAATTCACAATCTGACAATCCACCGGGGACAATAGAGTAAATAAAAAAAGACATCAAACCATTAATGGCAAACGTTAACGTATTGGTCAATTGCCGTGACAGTCCATTACGATTACTCCCTTCTTCCCTGACTCCCTTCTCTTGTTCACGTACAAGATTCACCCTCTACTCACTGTTCACTCATTTATCTATAAAACACGTGCATGCATGCTTTTTAGTTTCATCATTATCATGTCACGTCATTTATACATTCAAATCTCTAGATCGTTATTACGGTCATTAAATAAAATAATATTTAAAAAAAAATAATCCCGAAAAAAATTCAATAAATATATTAATAAAATAACTAAAAGGTTTTTTAAATCCTCGATGTTATCTGTTCAATATATATCTGTTAAATCTCGAGTAGTTTTATCTTTTCACTCCTTTCGCTTCTTGGGGTTATTTTATTCTCTTCTCTTCTATTTTTTTTTTTTTTTTTTCAATTCTCGAGAGACGATCCCTTGAAAGTACCGAGGATTAGGAGGGTAGATGGGCAACTACTCTAAATAAACATCCCTGGAATCTACTGCGGGACTGTACTATACTGTACTATAAAATTCAACCCCTAAGGATTCGCTGTACTCACTTGTCGACCTAACACATTTACTACCACTTGTATCTTATAACTTTTGTATTTTACGTAACCAGGGCAGATTCATTTCCTCTGTATGAATAGACAGTCATCGCTCTCGCCTTACATTTCTATTCATATTTTTTATTGTAAAATTTATTGAACTGGGTGATATATATTTGTATTGTGATGTTAAAATCAATAAAATTTTAATTATTGTTTATTTTTAGGGGCTGCAAAACGTAACAACTAAATATTAATCCAAAGGCAACCCCAATAATTTAAAGATGTCCGGATTCGCGGCAGCGGGTCTCGGAGCCCTCGCGACTATTAAATCTAGGGTTGATGGAAAGCTTGCTGAGTAAGTTATTTTTATTATTATAATTAAAAATTCTTGTTTTTATAATAAGGAAAAAAAATTAATTTTTTAGTCAAAAATTTATTTTTCTTTAAAATTATTATTATTGGAATTAATTTAAAAATTAATGCGACTAATTTTACAAAAAGAAGAAATAAAAATAGATTTTAATTTTAATTTTAAAAAAGTGTTTGCTGTCAATTAAATATTTTTCTTATTTATCATCTGTTCGGTCACGGATTATTTTTTTTTTTTTCATTATCTTCGTCACGATCAACTTCCTTTTTTTTTTTATGTCAATAACGTTTAGTAAATAGATTTTACATTGACAATTTTTTATGAAATAATTATAGAAATTTTTTAAATCTTTTAATAATTAGGGACGTTAGTGTATTAAATAAATAAATTAATTAATTAATTAATATTGAGACAAAAATATCATACAAATAAAATTTAGCAAATATTAAATATATTATCTTGATTTTTAGTGACTAAAAGCCACTTATATACAAATAGATTACTTAATTTAATATCGGGTAAAACCGCCTTGATAGACAGATAATTCTATTAATTATCTTAAAGATGTTTACTCCTCAAAAGCTATAGACTTTATTGAGTCTTAAAACTTAAAAAAAAAATTTTTATATTAAAATTAGAGCAGAAAAAAAATATTTATGTCTCTGTAAATTTTACAAGAAAGTAAAAGTTAATTTTTAGATTCTCTAAATAATTTTAGTGTGATTAGTTATTGTAAAATTAATTAGTATTATGCTTGACATTAGAGAGCAAGTTAAATTAAGCTTGATTAAAGTTATGTATGTTGGAATAGAACGATGTGATTAGTTTTGGTTACGACTTGATCATAAATATCCGTAATAAATATTAATAATTTTGAATTAAAATTTTTTTGTCAAACAATATTGATTAAATTATTTATTCCAATTATCATATTCAAGTGTTCGAAATTAATTATATTGGAAAAAAAATAAATTTGAAATAATTTTTTTTACTTCACCCTATTCTTCAATATGATTAATAATTTACAAATTTAAATTAAATAAAAACTATTGTAATTTTATTAATTTGTCAAATTTTTCATGTAAGAAAATATATTCTCAAAATTATCAATAATAAAAATTAATTTTAGTCAAGAGAAAAATTATTGAATCAAGAAAAATAAAAGTAGGGATCAAAGTCTGCAAATTTTTTTAAAAAATAATTTACATTATATATTGATATTTACAATACAAAACTACACTGCTCTGATCTATGATTGTTTATATTTTTTCTTTTTTCTTATGCTGTTATATTGTGTCAAATCTTTAATTCGAAAATGACTATGTTTATGGTTTTACATGTACTTTAATTATATTTTTGCCATTTGGCTTTTTGCTTTGGCATTTAAATTTGAATAAATAAATAAATAAATAAATAAATAAAATTTGTAAATTTTTCTTCATGATTTAGAAATGGAAATTCAAAAATTAAATAATAATAAAGTCAAATAAAAAAATTTACCGTCAAAAAAAAAGATCTGAATAAAATGATACGGCAATGATTTATTCATCGTACACCACCCTCCTTTTTTTGTACCCATTCTTCCCCTCAAAAAAATAGAAAAGTCTATAGGTCTAGGACATCATTAAAAAAGTAATTTCCCATCGATGAGACAAAGGCGTGAGAGCATTTGAGCTTGAGTACGACAATAGAGAATATATTGCGCGGTGAATTAAGAACTTATTGATCAAATTTCGGTAGAATGCGTATTGAGAGAAGAAACCAGCGAGGATATGAGGAGTTTGCGATGCCGAACAATGAGAGCGCTAAGGAGAACATGGGATTTGAGCAAGACCGCGATTTGCAGCCCTGTGGGTCCCTCGACTCGCTGCCAGAACCTGAAAGACCGCCGTTACGTCACATTGACACATATTGTATGCCCGAGTGTCCTTGTTTATCCAAGAGGTACACGATCGCCACCCTCGCATGCTTAGGTAACCCATTTACTCAATATATACTTTCCATTTTAATTAATTTGTTTTTTTCTTCATTTATCCTATTTTATATTAATTATTATTAATAATTAATTAAAGTGGTCATAATTATTATTATTATTATAATTGAAATTTTGGGAATTCAGGTTTTGTTATCTCTTTCGGAATGAGGTGTAACATGAGCATGGCCAAATTGATAATGAAAAACGACACAAACAGCGACGGACAGCCCAAGTTTAATTGGACTGTGGGTACCGAGGGCTTGCTGGATTCCTCATTTTTCTGGGGATATCTTGTCACCCAGGTGCCTGGAGGATTTTTGGCCTCGCTCTATCCTGCCAACAGAATTTTTGGAATAGCTATTGCTGCCTCCTCATTCCTTAATCTTCTTGTACCTGGTGCTTTGTCCGTTCATGCTGCTGTTGATATGTGTGTTCAAGTTCTTAAAGGACTTGTTGAAGTAATTATTATCAGTTTTATGAACAATTTTTTTTAAGAAAGAAATTTAAATGAATTAATTATTTATTTATGAGTAAAATTTATTTACTAAATAGGGAGTGACTTATCCAGCTTGTCACGGTATCTGGAAATACTGGGCACCGCCATTAGAACGATCAAGACTGGCAACTCTCGCTTTTTGCGGTTCATACGCGGCAGTTGTTATTGGAATGCCACTTTCTGCTTTACTTAGCAGTTCTTTTGGTTGGCAAGCATCTTTTTATTTCTACGGTAATTTTTTTTCTCCATATTTTTACAATTTTTATCAATTTTTTTATTATTCATTTTAAAAATACTTTCTTTAATAATTATATTTGTCATTATTTTTAACAATTAAAAATATTAATTAAATATTTATAACTAAATACAAAATAATAAAAAGTATCTCAACTATTTTATTTATCAATTATTAAATGTAAAATTTTTGAGTAAAATCATTAATTAGAAGAATGAATTGATGTAAAAAAAATTTTTTTTTACAAAATAATTAACTTTAACACTTAAAAAAAAAATTAATTAGTTTAAATAAAGAGTTTTTGAGCCAAAAAAATAATTTTTAAAAGTTTCATCTTCTTAAATTAAAATATTTCTTTACTCAAGAATTTAAAATAATTTTAATTAAAATTTTTTTTTTATCTCAACTATTTTATTTATTAATTATTAAATGTAAAATTTTTGAGTAAAATCATTAATTAGAAGAACGAATTGATGCAAAAATAATTTTTTTTTTTTTTATAAAACAATTAACTTTAACACTAAAAAAAATTTAATTATTTCAATAAAGAGTTTTTGAACAAAAAAAATAATTTTTAAGAGTTTCATCTTCTTAAATTAAAATATTTCTTTACTCAATAATTTAAAATAATTTTAGTTGAAATTTTTTTGTCTTAAATAAAATAATTTTTTTTAATTATTAAAAATTAAAAAAAAAATTTTTAGGTGTTTGTGGAATAATATGGTACTGCTTTTGGCTCTGGTTATCATTTGAGCGGCCATCAAAACATCCTTGCATTTCCTCCCGGGAATTGCATTACATAGAAGACTCTTTGGGAAAAGGACTGAACACTCAACCAATTCCCACATTTTCCTCAACTCCATGGAAGAAATTTTTCACCTCCATGCCGGTTTACGCGATAATAGTAGCAAACTTCTGTCGATCGTGGAATTTCTACTTGCTGGTGCTGTTCCAGGCGCGGTTTATGCATGAATCATTTGATATGCCCTTAGTTGAGGTAATAATTATAATAGTAATTAAGGAAGTTAAATTACTTGAGAGTAGTTTGAATAAAATTGACTTAATTTTATTAGACCGGAGTGGTTGGCTCGCTGCCTCATTTATTAATGACGATAATAGTACCATGCGGTGGATTGCTGGCGGATCATTTGCGTAAGACGGGAAGAATGACTACGACCAATGTAAGAAGGTTGTTCAACTGCGGAGGGTTCGGAATGGAAGCGCTCTTTTTCTTGGTGGTTGCAAACGCGACCACTCACAATAACGGAGCTGGTGCGACGATCGCCCTGGCGATCGGGGTGGCCTGCAGCGGGTTTGCTATTTCTGGTTTCAATGTCAATCACCTTGACATCGCTCCACGGTATGCTAGTATTTTGATGGGGATGTCGAATGGTATTGGAACAATCGCTGGATTGCTTGTTCCTTTCTTCGTCGATACTATTACTAAAAATAAGGTAAATATTATTTTTTTTAATAATATTTATCATGATTTTTTTTAATTTTATTATTTTATCTTATTTTTGTAATATTGTTGATAATTTACTTTTTTTTTAATCTTCTCAGATATTTTAATTGATTGAAAATAATTTTAACTAGCAACCTTGCAGTCACTATGTGACTGCCGTGACTTGTGTAATATAAAAAATTAAAATTTTGCTTTATTAAATAATGAATTTTGTTAAATTGCACTGTACTTTCTTAAATATTGACATTTTAAAAGATATAAGCTCATCCCGATGTTACACTCATCAAGAGCTTTCATTTGAGTACCCACATGCATTTTGATATATTTTTCATATATACATATATATAAATATATAAAATATATGAAAAATTGATGTGGGTACTCAAACGAAAGGTCTCGATGAGTGTAATGTCGGAGTGAGTTTATATCTTTTAAAATGTCAATATTTCACAAGATATTTGTTAAATTGCACTCTTTTTTCTTAACTGTGGATGTTTTTAAAGATATAAGCTCATCCCGATGTTACACTCATCAAAAGCTTTCATTTGAGTACCCACATGCATTTTTATATATTTTTGATATATACATATATATGTATAATATATATAAAATATATGAAAAATTGATGTGGGTACTCAAATGAAAGGTCTCGATGAGTGTAACATCGGGATAAGCTTATATCTTTTAAAATGTCAATAGTTCACGAGATACAAGGTCATTTATGAATTACTGACATTTTTAAAGATATAAGCTCACCCCGACATTACACTCATCGAGACCTTTCATTTAAGTACCCACATCAATTTTTCATATATACATATATATAAATATATGAAAAATTGATGTGAGTACTCAAATAAAAGATCTTGAGAATTTTTATTCAAATTTTTACATAAAAATTTTTTTAAAATCTATTATAAATGATTTTTCTAAAATTAAACTCTCTATAGTTCTTTTTAAAATTATTTTCTTCTAATTTCAATTCATATAAAACAATTTAAAAAATTAATCAAAATTTAATAAACATAAATTACAAAATATTACAATACAAAATTTTATTTTATTTTTAATTAAAGGACAGAGAAAGTTGGAGAAATGTCTTCATAATGGCAGCATGCGTCCACTTTTTCGGCGTAACATTCTACGGAATTTTCTGTTCCGGAGAATTGCAACCCTGGGCAGATCCAGCATTGGAGGAGCAAGGAAGTTGGAACCCACTGGACGATCTCGGTCAAAACAAGCCACCAGTTCCGCCACCACCCAAAGTTATGCAATCCGACTTCATTGTAAGTGTTATAACTGAATTACCCAATCGACCTGTGACCTATTAATAAATATTAACGATAACAATACTAATACTAATAATTAATCCGTCACAGAAGCAACCATCAGTAGACGTAAATGCAGGGTGGAACGACGGCGGACAAACAGAAGCTAGCTCGTATAGCAGCCAACCCGTAATTAATTACGGATCAACGACAAACGCTACGAATCCCTTTCATTCGTCAAATCCTTTCGCGAGCGATGTTCATGAAACTCAAGTCCAGCCGCCTACGATCGACGATCACTCTCATGATGTCACCCAACAGCATCAGCAGTGGGAATAAATTACAAGTATTTTTAGTCCTTTTTTGTTAAATTATTCATCAGGTAGGTTTTTTCATTTTTAATTTTATTTCTTCTTAAGAAGATAATTAATTTTAGTCGAAAAATTTTGAGACTTTAATTTTAAAAATCAAAGAAGAAAACAATGAAAGTATAAAATAATTTAAAAGAAGAATATATATATTTACTTCCTCTGAAAAAAATAAAATACCTAAGAGGACAGATGATAGTGCTAAAAGCCAACGAAGAAAGTATTTACAATAACAATAATAATAATAATAATAATAATAATAAATAATTATTTTTTATAAAAAGATTGATAAAAAAATTTTTTGGTAATTTAAATAATTAATAGAATTCGAACCAGGAATTGATTGATTAAATTTTCAACATTAATAGTTTACAAATAATAAAAATCCAAAAGTGCACGACTCATAATGCTCATTTAATTATGGAATATAAATACAATAAAGAATGTGAAAAAAATACATAAAACAGCTAAAATAGCACAATAATGCGCAACCCCCTCTATTGGGATAAATGTACACAATATATATATATAGATATATAATCTGCTGGTTTTAGTTTTATTGTATTAATTGTACATAAACGATAATTACCTAGCCATTCGCATTCGGTGACTTACAATCCTTTCAAAAAATTAAAAAAAAAAATTCAACACAATTAATCCATTTTTTTGCAAGTTACAGTGTTTACAGAGTTTCATACATGACGGACGGAAAATTTTTTGACCTATTTTGATGTCTTTTTCCGTTTCTATTGCACTACAATTTTTAAAAAGTGTCAAATTAATCTCCATTAAATTGTCTTGACAATAGTATACAAAATATAGACAGAAATAAAAATTAACTTAAATCAAGACGAAAAATTCTTGAATCAAATGAAATTTACTTAAATTTCTTAGTTTAAAAATTTTTCTACTCAAATCTAGAAGATGAAGTTCTTTAAAATTATTTATCTGATTCAAATAAATTTTTTTTTTTCTGTGTATTGATATTCCGTCAACTAACAAAATTATAATAATAAAAATAGTTGCCGAAATGAGTCGTGCAAAAATGATAATAATTATACTTATATAACTTATACTGACAATAATATGAAGAAAAAAAGAATGGATTATTTATTTATATGGAATTGAGTAATCAAAATAATTATTAATAATAAAAATGCACTTGTTTTTAATCGCACGTGTTGATTACAGCACATTTGATATGGAAACTTTATTTATTAGGAAATAAATTATTAATAAATTGAAATTTATATTATATTTAAATAAATGATGGATGTTAATAAATACAAGTGGAGACAATAACAATACAAGTGTGAAATAAAGCACAATTGGCTGATACTTTTAGGTATTAACTTATTTAATTTTAAAAGATGAAAGTATCGAACAGTATGAAAGTTTATTCAATAATTACATTACTTATTTTAAAAGATGAAAGTATCGAACAGTATGAAAGTTTATTCAATAATTACATTACTTAAATATTTTTTTTTTTTTAAGTATAATAAAAGTAACTAACGAAAGCGGATTTTTGAAACATATTTACGCAGATTAAATAGAAATATATAATATAAATATGACATATGAAAGTTATTGAAACTTGAAAGTAAAAAAATGAGGGTATAATAGAAAAAAAATAAAATTTTTGTCCGATTATTGAAAAAAGAAGCTAACTTTTAATTAAAAAAAATTAATTTAACAAACGAACTCATGATGAGAAATTAGTCAATTTACGCGAGACCTTTTTAATCGAGTAATAAAGCATTTAAATAATTTAAAAAAATATATAAATATTCATATACATGACCGTTATAATATAGAGTATTGTCGATTATTGATTATATTAATAAATTTATATATATATATATGCATATACATTTATGTATATATGTGTATATATATTATTGAAAAAATATATTAATAAAAGAGTGCGTTGTACGCGTATCAATTCTGTTGTATGAAATTATGGCAATATAAATATATGAATACAGTAATTAAAAAAAATAAAAAAAGTAATTATTGAAATGTTAATGCTTGGAAATAATAATATTGATGATGAGACGTGTTAATATAATAAATTATATATAAATTTTAATCATAATATTGATAACATAACAGTTTAATTATATTTGTTAATTTTTAATTGAATTTATTTAGAAAAATAGAAATTTTGGTTATTAATTTTTTTTAGGTAGAAATTTTATAATATAAAAGCAAAATATTTAATGAATTATTTAGAAATATATCTAATTATTTTAAATGATATTTTTTTTAAGAGCAATGCGTGTAAATTTATTATTAAAAAAACGGATTTATTTTTTTTGTAGTTCGGCTTTGCGCCGCCGGGTGGCGGCGCTTCTCGCAAACGCTGAGGCGAAATCTGGCTTAATATATAGCACTCTAAATTTTAATAAATTCAAACAAATTTGAGATATTAACGTATGAGCGTTATAATTAATTATTTATTTTTTCAAATGAAAAATAAAAAGCGTTACTGAAAGAAAATATTAACCAGGTTCATAATAAATGCGATAGAATTTTTAGAAAATACAATTGATAAATATTGTTTTTAGATGAATTTTAATTTCTTATAAGCTATTTTTTAGATCTCTAAAATTGTCATTTTTGAGATATGGGGTTGCGTTAAAAAACCATTGATATTTACTAAAATTATTCAAAAAAATCTGTTTTTGTTCTTTGAATATTTTAGAATATATTAATAATTTTTTAAAACATCTTCAAAAATGTTAAATTGCTGAAAAAAAATTTGTGACAATTTGCGGGACTAGATCGCGTTTGTTGACTAGTCTAGGGTTAAATGAGTCATTGGAAAAATTGAATTGAAAAATTAATAATTTAGTTTATTATTACAAATTTACGCGCATTGTTCTCTATTATAAAAACTTGGTATAATAAAATAGATAAGTATATAAAATATTAAATAAATAAAAAAACTTCTCCAAATGTCAATGATGAAATAAAGTAAAAAGTATCTGCGAAAGATCGATGAAGAAATATAATAAAAAAAAAAAAAAAATAAACTATAAATAATTATCATTAGATGGAGTGTAGTATCAGGCCTAATAGTGTTGAGATATTTAAGTTGATAGTCTCCCTGATCTCCGAAATACAAATATATCTTTAATTAAAAAAAAAAAATAAATATAACAATAATAATAAAATAAAAATAAGAATAATGATAATAAGCTAAGTGCTGATGCTGTCGAACAATAATTCTGATATATTTATATATATATTAAGAAAAAAAATAATAATTTTATGACAATAAAATATACTTGTGTGTAAAGTGCCGAAAGATTTTTTTTTATTATTAATATTATAATTATAAATAATTACTTAAATTAATAATTAGTTTAGTCTATTGCTTTGTAGTTTAATTTTATTATCGATTTTATAATTACGTTGCAATTGTTGGATGAATGAAATTTTTTTTGTACATAAACGTTAATTATTTATAATAAATTTTATTTAATATTAAATTTTATTATTGATTTAATTTGTATGAGGTAAAGTGTAATTTCTGTAGTGTGTGTACGTGAAACTAAATCATATCTCTAAATATTAAATAATTTTTTTTTATTAATTATATAGAATAATTATTTCGCTTAATTGATTATTGTATATATTGATAAATTAGTTTACCGATTTATTACTTTATTAATTAATTAATTAAAAGAGAAATTAAAAAATAAATAAATATATAAAATAGTTAATAAAAAAAATTGATACGAATTTTATCGGTATATTTAATATAATTTATCAATTATATCGACAATAAAGGAGTTAAATCTAATTACAAAATATTTATGAAAGTAATAATATTTAAGGACAATAAAAAACAATTTTTTTTTTCATTGTTTCAAATGACGATTTTTTAATTAAAATTTTTAGAGAAAAATTTTTTTTGCAGAATTTCAAACGAAGAAAGTGAATAAATACGTAGGTCTTGCGTACCAAAATAGTTAATGTTATATTATGAATTATGAAGTAATGTATAATAAGCTTTTGAGTATGTCAGTAGAGGTAAATTTTTGCTTGGTAAAAGATAATGATAATAATAAAATATAAAACTTAGCAACTTCTTCTTGCCTTCGATATTGCAAATATATATTAAATTTTTCAATTGCTGATTGACAATAAAACTAATTATTTGAAAAGTGACTAACGTCAAAAGTAGAATTTTATTATTAATAATAAAATTGATATTTATTATTGTAATGACGAATGATTAATGATTAATGTTTACTGACTTGTAAAAGTAATTAATAAATAATAAAATAATGAAAATTAATCGTTAATCAAAAAAAAAAAAAATATACTGGATGGTTTGTTAATTATTACATCATATAATTATGTAAAATATGTATGTACATTGTAATCTGGGTGTATTATTAAATAATACCTTTAAAATTAATTATTTGAGAATAAAGTGTAAGAAAAATCTTTTAAATTAAAAGTTTATGAATTCACCTCTATTTTATTTCTTCAATAATTTTAATTACCAAATTTATTTTTAAGTATATATTAGTAGCTTCATGTCATTAGTAGTTTCATGTCATTCGCAACAATAGTCGATTTGTGATGATGAGTATTTAGGCTGCAATCAAAAATGCCCTATCTCGAGATACATAATTAAGAAATTACCTTGTATCTTGTGAACTATTGGCATCTTTAACGATATAAACTCACCCTGATATTACACTCATCGAGACCTTTCATATGAGTACCCACATCAATTTTTCATATATTTTATATATTTATATATTTCACAAATACCATGTATATAAAATATATGAAAAATGCCATGTGGGTACTCAAATGAAAGGTCTCGATGAGTGTAACATCAGGATGAGCTTTAAAATGTTAATAATTAAGAAATGATCAAATGAAAGGCCTCGATGAGTGTAACATCAGGATGAGCTTATATCTTTAAAAATGTCAATAATTAATAATTTACCGTATATCTTGTGAACTATTGACATTTTTAAAGATATAAGGTCACTCCGACATTACACTCATCGAGACCTTTCATTTGAGTACCTACATGGAATTTTTCATATATTTATATATATTATATATATGTATATATGAAAAATATATCAAAATGCATGTGGGTACTCAAATGAAAGCTCTTGATGAGTATAACATCGGGATGAGCTTTTATCTCAAAAAATGTCAATAGTTAAAAAAGTACAGTGCAATTTAACTAAAGTAATTATTTAATAAATCAAAATTTTATTTATTTATAATTCACGTCACGGCAGTCACATAGTGACTACAAGGTTGCTAGTAAAGAATGATTTTCATAAAAAAAAAAAACAACGCAACGTTCCACACGACATAATGGAATTCAGTATGCGTAAATTAAGAGTTGATAAAACTCGACTCGTGTAATTAAATGAAATATTTTTGTATTTACCGCAAAACTTTCGACACTAATAACCACCATGCTTGCTTATTCAGGACAAATGACATATCCTCCTAGTATTTAAATGCATTTTTTAATTATTAATTACATTCCATCGCGTTCATCCGCTTACTTTCCACTGGATCTCAGTATTATGATTATTGTCCGTGCGTGATATAAAATCCATTTAATCATCCTTTACATCATTACAATTATTGCATAAAATTCAAAGAATAAAAAATGCATACTTTTTCATTTCCCACACGGCTGGTTAACAAATGCAAACAATAAAATGACAACAAATAATTATAAATGAATAATTACAAATAAAAAAATGAAGCGCAACGTCTCGTCATTTTGAGAAAACCAACAATAAAATAGCGATTGCATAAACATTCAAAGTTTTGAACGGGGAGAGCTTCTATATAAATAATAGACGGCGTACTTCCTTATCAGTATCAAGATTAATATTTACTTAATATTTACCGCAAAAAAAATATAAATTAACCAGCTCAACTCAATTACAAGTTTTGTGTATAATTTTATGATTTTTTAATCCCAAGAATTGCAAACAAGAGTTTTGATTAAAATAATTGATCGATTGCGCATGCGTAAGAGCTGGACCGTGAATAGGGGAAATGCCGGGACTCCCATCGTAATATACTTGTACTTTCTAAATTCTCTTGGATCCCTGATGAGTTTACATTTTAAACCGCGACATCAAACATTAAAGAATCACGTCCAAAAAAAAATATATTTTTACCATCGGTGATACTAGACACGTCCGATGTTATATCACATACGCCGGGAGTGCCGGACATGGCGGTCACTTTTGTTCTACATCTTCTTTTTGTAACATTTTTTTTGTTTTTTCAAACATGTAAGTTTTATTTTTATTTCTATAAATATTTTGTGAATTTTTTTTTTTTTTAATAAATTCATTCTTTAATTTTTTTACATTTAAATTTTTGTAAAAATTAATTTTTTATCAAAATTAATAAAAAATAATTTTTACAAAGATAAATATTTTTTTTTTAATTAAAAAAATTTTTTTTTCAATAAATTCTTTCTTTAATTTTTTACATTTGAATTTTTGTCAAAATTAATAGAAGATTTTATCAAAATTAATTAAAAAAAAAATTTTTAATGATTCTTAACAAAATTTTTTTAAAATTAAAATTTTTTTTTTTTAATAAATTCCTTTATAATTTTTTTACATGTGAATTTTTGTCAAAATTAATATAAAATTTTTATCAAAATTAAAAAAAAATGTAATTAATTTTTTTATTAAAAAAATTTTGTCAAAATTAATTTATAAAAATTAAAAAATTTTTTTTAAATTAATTTAGAAGAAAAATTTATAAAAAAATAAATTTTTACAATTAAAAAAAAATGAAATAATAACTCACAATAATGATCATAAAACTAAAAGCTCAAAGTACACTATTATGAAACATTCAATTAATTATAACCAGAATATAAATTCAATAGAAGCCTGACACCAATCCGAGTGACCTTTGCCTCATTCGCGATTATCCTTTTCCTTTCCCAGCTTTTTATCTCGTCTTATCTTCAGTGAGTCGCGTGTAGGGCGACAAAGACAAGGACGATATGTCAAGGGCAAGAGTCCTCGTCTCGTTACATCTCAATGAATTTTTTCCGCTTTTCAATAACAATATATCTATATTTATGAATTAATTCTGTAAAAGTTTCAATTAATTTATTCACTAATTTGCATGCCAATGTATTCATACATATTCTGCAATTTATAAAAATTCTTATTTATTTAAATAAAATAGTAAATTTAATTTATAGCAACTGTAAGCGGTCAAAATAAAACTCTGAAAGATCTCTTCAATAGTACTTCTTGTGCGAAGCCTCCCTTTATTTGTCCGCACCCACAAATAGAGTTTTATTTGTACACCAGGTAATTAATTTAAAATTTTAAAATAACAATTAATAATTATGTTAAATATTTATCAAAAAAATTCGAAAGTATAAAAAAATATAAACTCTTTAAATTAATAAAAAATTTTTATATCTAAAAATATTACATAAGAATAATTAAATTAACTAATTTTTTATTAATAACAATTAGAGTGCTCGTAAAAAAAAATTTATTAAAAAAACAAACATTAAAAAAGAAAACTTTTAATTTCAAGATCACGATCAACGTATGTTAAATTGAAAGTGACCTCAATACTGATGTACTCACCTTTCTCCGGGATTTTATGTACATGTTTAAATGTACTTGTCTAAGTAATCAGTACTTGACTTACTCTCACTAAGTACTCATTACTTATGTCATAAATAGACTTAAATTTAAATGATCATTTCGGAAGGATTAATTTAAATTTTAAAATAAAACTGTCCGTCAAATTGATGTTTTATTTACTGCAATAAATTATAAAAGAAAGTTTTCCGTGTATACATATAATTATTTTTATTCTTGTTATTAAAAAAAAAAAAAAAAAAAAAAAAAAAAAAATTATATATTAAAAATAATGTTATTAACTCGAATAAGTAAAGAATTTATTTACTGTTATATTTTACCAGAACGACTCAAAAAAATCCAGTTCTCCTTGACGTCCTGAATCGCCGGTCATTGGAATACACGACGTTTGACCGGTCCCATCCGACGAAAATAATAATCCACGGATTTGGAGGCGGAAGAAATTTAGCACCCAGCACTGATCTGAGGAATGGTGAGGATAAGTATTGTGATTATGGTAATTTTATTTAGATTTAACTTTTGTGGACTACGCAGCGTGGTTATGATTATATTATTGTGAATTAATGATAATAATGATAATGATTATAAGGCAATGCCGGAAATCGTGCGTGAAAGGAGAAGGAATAGATAAGGTTGTCAACCGGTTATTTAGTTTCATTAGTGAGAGTACTAGCAATTGCGAGAACTATCTCATTTATGTTACTTATTATTTATTATATGATTATTAAGTATTAGGAAATATTTAACTACTGGGAAATTTATAATATGTTATTATTTCATTTATGTTATTAAGCGCGTTTATGAATAGAGGAGTGTGTTATTATAGTCAATTTTTGTAACGTTTTTAATTTATTTTCTCTTGTAATATTCAATGATATATTAATGAGTTAAGATTATTAAATAGATAACGTTTAATAATAAATTCAGTTGAATTTTTATTAAGATTTTTATATTTTTTAATTCTAATTGTTGATAAATTTCATTTTTTATAAAATTATATCCAAAAAATTAAAATTAGATTTTGTTAATCGAATTTTTAGATAAGAAAAAAATTATTGACTGATTTAAGTCTTAATATTTTTTAGATCTAATTACATTTAATCTAATTTTTATTCCAGAATTTATTGAAGAAAAACAATTTTATATGAAAATTTGAGTATTGATTTTTCTAAACCATAAAAATAACTGATTAAAATAATTTTATGATTTTTTAGATAAATTGTACTGTACTTTTTTGACTATTGACGTTTTTAAAAATATAAGCTCATCCTGATGTTACACTCATCAAGAGCTTTCATTTGAGTACCTACATGCATTTTG